CTTATCTTAAGGAATAAAGTGGCTCACTAGCTTAACTAACAGCCTGATTTACTTTCCCCTCTTATCTGCAGAAGTTGCAACTGCCTGCTTATTTTCTCAGGCTACTACTTGAAATTCTTTCCAAACCTGTCTCAGGAATAATTAGAAAAGGTGGGTGAAGTGAGTGAGAATAGGTCTTACTTTCCCAGAATTTGTTTCATCGCCTTTTTAAAAAAGAGAAAAACCTTTTGGAGGGTGTGTGTCTGTGTCTGTGTATCTTACTGGAGATGAAAATCTGGGCCCCATGCATGCGAGGCAAATACTCTACTATGGAGCTATGCACCCAACCCTTTTGGAATTTTGGGACAGGATGTCACTAAGTTGCCCAGGTGGCCGCAAACTTGTCATCTTCCAGCTTCAGCCTTGTGTAGCTGAACTTACACAGACATGCACCCCTATGTCTGGCTTGTAGTATTTTGAAGATCAATGCAATAAAATGACATACTCAGGCAGTGTCTCTCAGTGTGTTAACCAGCACTACATGAGTAACAAACAGGCCATAGGGAATGCAGGAGTTAGCTCATTCATCCCTGCTGAATAGGAAGAAAAAACAGGCAAATGGCTTCTTTCTTCACCTGGTTCTTAAGAAGCATCTGAAAAATTAGAATATCAATTTGTATCAACACAAGCTGCTGCCAACATCTGGATGTTGGAGGAGGGCTGGCTCTCTGCTGCTGGGGACCTGGTGTGGCCCATTCACATGAATGTGGACAGGAATTACTAAGCAATAGCAAGACATGGGCTCATCTTTTATTAGCGTGCTCTTCTTTGCATTTAAAAAAGAAACAGACATTTTTTGGGGTTGGAAAACAGTTAAGTTTCATTTGCATCTGCTAGTCACAAAAGCAGAATGTCTGTCTTCTAAGGCAGACAATCTGGAGTGGAGGAGTTCCATGGGAAATACTAATTGTCTGAGGAGGCTGTAGAATGAAAAGACTCAGTAGCATGGTTGCTAGTCCAGTAATATTACAATATTCTCACATTCAGAGGGACTTTTCTCACAAAATAACTTTTAATGTTTTTAAAAAGAAAGCTCTCAGCAAATGGACATGTAAGAATTAGAGCAACAGCATCATATGACCTGTGAGTCAACTTAATTAATGCAATTATAATTCCTAACTAGTAAAGGAAAACTTATGATCAAATTAAATAATTTGAAAGGTCCTAGGTTCTTTCAATTTCTCCATTTGCTCATATTCCTGAAATCCCTCTGTATTATTAACTTTCCTATTGTTAGATCAAAATATCTGATACAACTCAAAAGGAGAAGTTAATTTTGGCTCATGGCTTCTGAGGATTCAGTCTACAGTTGCTCCAAGGCAGGAACACATAGTGTAAGGGTGTGGTGGAGAAAAGCCACTCAATTCACCACAGCCAGGAACCAGAGGGTAGAGGAAGGAGCCAGGGACAATACCCGTTCTTCCAGGTCACACCCCTAGTAACCTACCCACTCCAAACAAGTGCTATACCCTAACAACACATTTGGCTATGAACTCATCAATTAATTACTCCACTGATCAGTACAGTGCCCTCCATGATCCAGTCACATTCCAAAACCCCCACTTCTGAACACAGGAGACTTTTGGGAGAACATTTCAAGCCTAAACTGTAACTGGGTGTTATGGTTTAGATTTAAAATGCACCCCCCCCCCAAAACTCATGTGCTAAAGGCTTGATTGCTAGCTAAGGAGACTCTCCTTTCTCCTCTACCTCCCCCTCCTCCTTGGAACTGTCATGAGGTGAGCAGCTTTCCTCAACCATGCCCATCTGCCATGATGATTCTGCATTACAGCCACCCAATCATGGACTGAAACCTGTGAAAACTGTGAGCCAAATTGCATCTTCTTCTAAGTTGTTTTTCTCCACCGTTTGGTCACAGAAACAAAAAGTCGACACATTCGTCATTCAAATTAATTTGTTTTGAACTCTTCTCATTCTTTAAACACTACCAATTATTTTAATTTCTTCTGAACTCAGCTGAAGACGGAGGCTATTGGGTTCCTCAAAAATCCTAACACTTGGGGGTACTGGCCAGGAACTGTAGGATAACACACAGGAGATGGATGATGCTTAGCAAAGGGACTTAGAAGACTTTGTGGAAACTGAAGGGCCTGGACCTCGGTACAAGAGCACTTTTTCTCGCCCACACTCCCTTCTTCTAAACATTTAAGTTACAACATATTGCACATCTAAGAGAACAGCCTGATGAATTTTCACAGAGGTCATCCACACCAAGATCAAGAAATCTGCCAGGACCAGATACTGCTCAGACTGTTTCCCTCTCCCCCTCCTCCCCTGAAGTAACTGTTAGGGGGCTTCTGGCTTCACAGGTTGGATGGGAAAGGGTGTCATCCTCAATATTCTGCAGTTCTACTAGACCGGCAGGCTCTTCTGAGTTGTGTAGTTGGGTTTCTACTTCTGAATTTAGGCTGGGGAGTTGAAGGTTTGGAGTCTACATTGCTTTCACTTGTAGGTGGCTGCTACTTGTGGTGGCTCTGTCCACAGGTGAGCAATTGTTTCTACAGAGGCAGAGACTCAAGCAAAGGCTTACATGAACCCAGGATGGCAGAGCCTGGCTTTGAAGCAGTTCATGTGGTGGCAGGAGCCTGAGCACATCAACCTCAGTAGAGCCATCATAGCTGAAGGGAACAGGTGCAACAGCGCGAGGGTACAATTTGGTGAGAAGAGATTCTTTGTATTTCCCTTTTTATCTTTTCCCTTCCTTCTTTTCTGCCTCCCGCCTCCCTTTTTCCCCTACCCATTTGAACACTTTCTTCCTATTTCCCAACATCTAATATACATTTTGGATCTTATTTACCCTTTTGGTTTCTCGCACCAGAGAAAAACAATGCAATATTTAAACATATGTCCCACAGTTGCTAGGGGTAGCCACTAAATAAGGTAAAGCATGTGACTTCTAGGCTAATAAAAGGGAAGCTGATATAACAAAACATGACATTAAAAATAGCAAGAAAGAACATAGAGAAAATAGAACAAGCATGACAACCAGAAAGCACATAGCATCGTGGTGGATATAAATTCAATTATATCAGTAATTACATGGATTACACGCTCTACTTTCATTAACATTTTAAAAAATCATCTATATTCAGTTTATAAGAGAGTGGTCTAGAACATGGTACACAAGGAAAGGATAAAAGAAGACAGAAAAAGATATGGTACATCATACAGATTAATCAGACCTAATGTGCAGGACTGCCAAGGCTAAAGAGGGAACTTAGGGTAAGAGACTAAATGACAGTTTAATGTTTCTAAATTCCTTTTTTGCAAAACAATAGTATCAGCATATCTGAAGCAAAAATTGATGGGAGTACATGGAGAAATATGCAAATCTACACAGTGAGATTTTAACATATCTCTTGGATATGAGAGAACAGGAAGAGCAAAACAGTCACAAAAGTGATACTTTAAATTTATTTCTCTATCTGGGTGCCAGCTGAATGAACTGACACAACCCAGAATGGGGTGCCTAACCTTAACTTGCTCCCTCTGTAAACATTTTGTGGGTTTTTAAAGCAAATGATTAAACTACAGGGGGTAACTTAACTGCCAGTGCTTTTCCAGTCAGAGTTAGTATAGTGAACTCCATACTTTATTGACTATCTACCCTCCCCTCTTTGTTTAGATACCCTCTCAAATGCATGATCTCAGTCATGCCTTTTCACTCAGAGTGAAAATAGACTACTTTCAGTTTTTATTTCTTATAAAGAGAACTCATTAAAGATACAAGATATAAGAACATTACACAGAAATAAGTAGTGTTTCTCCAGACCAGTAATAAAGTAGTTAAAAAGAAATCAAGAAAGCAATCCCATTTATAATAAATAGCTAACAAAAAAAAAACTATGGGCCGGGGATTTAGCTTAGTGGCATTGTGCCTGCCTCCCAAGCCCAAGTGCAAGGTCCTAAGTTCAATTCCCAGTACAAAAAAAGCCAAACGAACCAAGAAATAGAATTACCATATTATCAAACAATTCTACTACTGAGTATAAACCCAAATCAAAGGAAATGAATATATCAAAGAGACATCTGCACTCCCATGTTTAATGCAGCTGTATTTATCAACCTAAGTGCCCATCAATGGATGGATAAAGAAAATTTGGTATATATACACAATGTAATATTATTTAGCCACAAGAACAAAACACTGTCACTTGTAGCAACACAGGAGAACATTATGTTAAGTGACATCAAGCACAGAAAGATAGGTACTACATGTTCTCCCTCATATATAGACGCTAACAAGGTTGGTCTCACAGAAGTAAAGAACAGAATAATGGTGATGAGAGGCTGGGAAGGGTGTGGGGGATGGAAGAATGAAGAGAAGATGAGTAATGGATATAGGCGTGCAACTGGTTAAGAGGATAATTACCAACAGTCTATTGCATAGGAAGGTAATAGTCCACAGTAGGTTGGCCAATAATTAAGCACATATTTTAAGAATAGTACAGACGTGCCTAGGATTTAGTTCAGTGGTGCAGTGCCACTGAGTTTGATCCTTGGTACCAAATTAAAAAAGTAGAGGATTCTATAAGTTTCCAACACGCACGCACGCATACACACACACACACACACACACACAGTGAAAAATGAGGTAAATGATACACCAATTACCATGATCTGATCATTATACATTATATATGTAAGTAGTGAAATTCACATTGTACTCCATAAAAATGTAAATTATGTGTCAAAAAATTAAATAGTAATTTAAACACATTTTAGAAAATATGTTGATACATTTTGTCAAGAGTATCAATTTTATTTAGAATATCCAAGTACAAAAAAATGAAAATTTATATACCTGTAACTGTTAAAAAGTTTGAATACATTAAGATGGTTCTGTGAATGCTAAGGCACTGAATGCAAATATCCCCTGAAACATTAATTATCTTTTTTTTTATATATTTGACATTAAAATATTCAGTTATTGTCTTAAATATTTTTAATAAAAATGACTCAACTTTATTATTTTTCCCCTCAAAGACAGAGTTTTAAACAAGTATGTAAGACAGACTAATGGAAATAATGTGATACACCCAGGTTCAAAAGTACTCTAAAAGGGTCTGTAGTCCTGGATGTTTTAAGCTTTTGAACATATTTTGTTTCATCACAGCAATACAACAACCATAAGGCACACTGAAGCATATAAGTGCTTATCACGTTATATAATTTGACACAGAAGCTTAGGATACTACTTAACAGTTGTGTAAAAAATTAGTTCTATAGAACTGTTGAGAAGCTAGAGTTTAGCTATGATACATTCCAAAATATAGTCCCCCAAGTTTTTTGTTTAGTATATACCAAAGAAGGTTCATCTTGGAATATAAATGCAATCAGCCATAAGTGAAGGTGTTCTACATTTTCAATGGCACTGAGTCTTGCTCTTTGGTACAATGCATAATATAAAATGACAAGCACCTGGCAATAGGAAAAGACATCTAGATTCATCACAAAATACCAACTTAAAGATTTCTAACAACAGTGAATATATAAGAAGTATGTATCATCCACTCTGGCTTAGGAATTGACCTTATATTTGAAAATATTTTACCATAAATGTCAGTAACTGTGGCCATCTGCCACATATATAGAATCTGTGGTGACCCAAATAAGAGTAACAAGAAAATCAAGGCTCACTTGTAACAGTTTACTCTTGCTTGTGATGGCCTTCTATACTCTGGAACTCCTGTGTTACATAAAATTGGAGCTGGAAAAAGAAAAAAAAAAAAACCTTTGGATTAGTACAATAAAAAACAATGTAGGAAGTAAAAATTACTAGAATCTTTAGTTTTATAAGGGTTTTACAGTAAGAACAAATACACATCTCACATATTATAGGATATTTAGCTACGGGACTTTAAAAAAAAAAGAAAAAACAAAACACACCAAGCCATATTCTGTTAAGGATGATTCTGAGCTCTCAAAAAATCTGTGGGCTCAACTCCGAATTTACAAACAATAAACTCTCTGTTCAGCCAAGTGGAACAGAGTGACAATTTTAATTAATATATGGGAAAAACTGGAGAATCGAATTTCAGAAATATTAGATTAAGATGAAAGGGTATGAAGTTAACAGATTCTTTGGTTTTATAATTCAAAGTATGGTGAAAGGCAGTAATAAATTATATTTATAGTTTATCTTTTGAAATTCAATGTTTTAATCAAATATAGCTATTATACTACCATATTCATTCTTCCAACAAATGATCTCATGAAATACAGGCACTGAGAAAACTGAAGCAAAAGTCTTCAACTGTGTGGAACACAGGAGGACATGACCATGCCAAGGAGCAGTGGCTGGAGTAAACTGAGGCAAAGACTGACAAGCATTTGGAACAAACAAGTCATGATGAATGTCACTACGGTCAAACAGGTAAACTGACAGGGACATTTTAAGTGGAAGGCATAAGATGAGGGACCCAGAAGACAGTAGGTAAAATAGAAAGAAGCCCCTTATTTTCTAAACCTCCAAGGTTGACTGATCCAGTAGCCATCATGGCCACTTCTGCAACTGTGGCCCTCTCTACCTTCTTCTGCTTCTGGTTTCACAAGCTCTGACATCAAAGTACAGGCATTCTAATCAAGAGCCTTTTCCCCTTATGAAAACAGACATTCTCACAAAATCAATGATCAGTAGATACGGCTAAAATAATGAACCTAAGAATTGGGATTTTTTATACAAATTATCAGTTTATGTCAATGATTCTAGAACAAAATGCAGTTTCCATTTATACATATAATTCAAAACAGCTCAATGTAAGTCAACAGTCATTAGCTGAGTTCTAGAGCCAAGGCTGGGGTAAGAGCAGGCTGTTTTCCTCCCAGCTGACTCTTTTGCACTGCAATGTATTTTTATTTTGTTCATTCATTCATTCATTTTGGGAAATAGCTACTGAGCATTTAATTTGTACCAGGAGCTGTTTCCAGCAGTGAATGAGAGGGCTGAGGTCTGTGCTCTCAAGGAGCTGTAGTGCTAAGAAGATCAAACAGGGCCAAGAGGGCTGGGTGAGGGCTCATTGGTACAGTACCTGTCTAACATGCACTAGGCCCTGGGTTTGAGCCCCAGAACCACAAAACAACCAGTTAATCAACCAAGAAAACAAAAACAAAACAAACAGGGTCTGGAGACAGAAGGTGAAGGATGGCGCTGTAGATATAGGGGACTCTCACTTTTTACGGTCCTTGTCCTTCTTCATGCCGATACCTGATGCCAGAAAAGACTGGTTCTGAAGTATCTCCGAGGCGGCCTTCTTTTTAGAGAAAGCAATTATTTCTTCTTCCAAAACTCTTCTCTTTTCTTCAAGCTTTATTCTCTCTTCTTGGTGAACTCGTTTCAAGTGCTCAAATTTGGCTTGCAGCTGTGACACAAAAGAGCAATTCCAACTGATGACACGGGGTGGCAGCACACACACAGGAATGTGCTCTGGTCAGCAACACAAACTCAACCTCCAAGTTGCTTCAAGCAAGTTCGCAAGTGAAACAGCCGTGGTAAGCTAAATTTTATAGAAGTTTCCTGCAAAAATTGCTTGAACTAGGGCCGGGGATTTAGCTCAGTGGTTTCGCCGGCTGCGCAAGCGCAAGGACCCGAGTTCAATCCCCGGTACCAAAAAAAAAAAAAAAATTGCTTGAACTAAATGTAATAAAAACCACAGTCTCCTGAACAAAACATGATCTTTTCCTAGGGCTATTTTTTTGCATATTTTTTCAACAAAGCCTAATAGTTTCTCAAATCGATGTTAAATAAAAATAGGGACAAAAAAGTACAGAAGGAAATTATCAAGAAGGAAAAAACCCACTTATTTTCCAAATAAAGATAACATATGTAATGAAAAAGGTTTTGAAAATTATACTGGTAAACCCTATTAGAAATGTGTCAATTGTCAGTTTATGCTAAGAACCTTAAAACTGCATCACATTTTTACAGTCATTCTGAAGCAGGCCAGGGATTCTTATGGGGGGAAAAAAAGACAGGGATTCTCCGGCCCTTAATCTGAGGTAGGACAGAATAAATAACTATAAGTAGAAAGAAGGCAGGAAAATCATAATTTTAAATTGTATTTTTAAGAAAACTGCAGCTTCAGGACACAAAGTTACTATGCCCTTTTCCTTTCCAGGAAACTCACTTAAAAACAAAACAAAAGGTCTTAAATGCAATGAGCCTATAAATTGGGCCTGTGCTTTTGATACACAAATTCCCCAGACTTCCAATCTCTAGGAAACAACACTTAAGTGGGCAGTGTGTCTCTAAACTTCGAACACATGCAAACCCATTAATGTTAGGGTGCCCCGACAGACACTAGGAATACACATCCTAGATGTCTTGAGGGCATGCCCAAAGCACATAAAACCTTCAGCCCCAGACCACATGCATTTACTCTACAAGCACACACTCCTTTCTGAGTGTGGACTTTTTACTGCCGAAGAAATGTTCCTATGCCACTCAACTGATGTGTCCTGCAATTCTTTTCTGTGATATAAGTCAATGAACCTACAACCTACCCTCTGGGCAGGGTGAGTTGAGGTGTCCATATTGTCTTTGGGGGACCTCCTGGACTCCATCTAGTGCAAATCCATGATCCTTACCCTTCCACTGAGGGACATCAATTTCTCTACCCTCCCTTGCCAACAATGTATGGAATGTGCCTTCTCCTTAACCACCTACTCTTACTGCAAGGACCAGGTGTGCTCTAACTGCAGGGAGGACCCAGGATGTCTCCACAGGACAGAATAGCTGCTAATCCAGAACCTACACAGGGAGGAAGTCCCCTTGAACACGAAGAAGCTTCAAGAAACATCATACTCAAAATTCATCATCAGAACATCACCAGACCCTAGCCCATCCCAGAAGTGCCATAAAAGCTAGTCTAGTTCTTTGTAAATGTGCCAACCTGATTTTCCCCATCAGAGTTGTGCCCTTTTCAGCTTGTCTTTCTTCCCATTTTCTCTTCCTTCTCAAAGCTTTTGCCTGTAAATTTGCGCCGCTGCCTCAGCTTTAATTTCCATTATCACTGAAGCAAGTTTCCCTGCATGTCCTGTATCAATTCAACAACTTCTTAAAATCAAAACTAAAAGACATCTTAAATTTAGAGAAAGCTTTATATACAAAAATATTCACTGCAGTAGATATTATACTATATTCAAAAAAATATCCATGTATCCAGCAAAGATAAAGTCAAAAGCACAAACTTGGGCTAAGTATGGGAGACCAGAATACCTCATTCTAAAATAAAATATGAAAGTGTTGAGATCAAGATGATTAAGAAGCCAGAAGCAGGAGCACTCTCACTGCCTCTCATGTATGTGTGAAAATAAGTATTCATAAATTTGTTTGTTTTTCTCTTGTTAATCTGAAAACAAGGGGTTTGATCCAACTAAGAATCTATGAGTGTTATTATTCTTCTACACAGCCATTAAAATGAGTTCTGTAAAATATTGTAACATTACAACATGAGATTTCTCTTGTTAAATGAAAAAAGCAGGAATGTAGAAGGAAAAATAAAGAACAGAATCCAGTAAATTTTCATTTCCTTGGGGCCAATAATCACCTTGATAGATCATATGAAGGAAGCAATGTCAACTTAGAAGCACGCTTGTGCTTTGACTTTATTTTAGCCACAATTTAAAGAATGCCCTGGATGGATCACAAAAGGCTTATTTCTCAAAGATATAAAGGCTTAGAAACAACAGATAAAAACAAAGCCTACAAAATGAAAGAGAGGGGTTTAGAAAATGTACCTAGCATTTTTATCACGATGTGTGGCATAGAATAAACACTCAATAAAGATAATTATAAACCGAACAAAACAAAAAACCACACATATACACACAAAAGAAAAGCTTAGATCTTTCTACCTGCGGCCCTTCTGTGATGGCCATCAAAGAAAGCCTTAGCACTCCATGTTGCAGGGTCCCACGTGGGCAACATCTCCCTGAGGACAGTTTAGGAGCTCTGCCTTTTCCCTCTCTCTAGCCCAGTACCTTCTACAAAATGTGAAAGAGAACCAGTCACGAGATACAGTGCAAAGTATGGGAGTGCCACAGGAAGCTCAGAGTCAGGTGAATCTGACCTGACTGTGGTCTACCTTCCAAACTGCCACCTAGGGACTTGAGTGAGCTCCACACCAACAGGCTGTGGCTGAGCCTGTCAATAACATATATACAGCATCAAAATTGAGATTAATAAAGATATCTTATTTTTCTCTCTGATCTGGTTAGATAAACCTAAGATTAGTATTTTCAGCAACCAAGCATTTATACAAAAAGTAGGACTTGGTATCTATAGAACATCATATGGGGCAACTAAAACTTCCAGGAAAACTATAAAGAGGAAAACATTTTAAAATGAGGGTTAGGTGAGATTATGGTCTTCCTTTTCTTAGGTATGGTAGGGAGACTCACTATGCTTTCACAATTTTTTTTCAAAATAATATATTAAAATTCAAATTACAAATGAATCAGTATATTCTCACTTTGACAAAACCACTTCTTGTAGTATTTATTTAACACCAAGTATTACAAGCATAACTGAAATAATAAATCTGTAAAATTAAATTATACGTAACTTTTCATCATCAGTGCTACTTTGCATCATCAGTGTTACTTTATATTAACATTTTCTGTCTCTTAGTGATTCCTTTTTGCAGCAAAATGACCCTCAACCTAAATGCAGCCATTTTCTTAAAAGCCACCACTGCACTTATTTCTATAGGTCAACAGAATATAACTTAACTCTAATAAAACTAAAATCACTGCTGGAAGAACTAGAAGCAAACAAAATAATTCAAGTTTACTAATATTTTCTTGTGCCAGGGCTGTTATTCCAAGGTCATCTAGACCACACAACTGTAACCAGAAAGCCAGAGTTCAAATGTGAAGAAAGCTACTTCATGGCTTTCAGTTGCCCATTTCCTGGCAAACAAGCCCAACAAACTCTCAGAAGTCTTAAGTCACAGCTGAGATGTTTCTGGCTCACAATTAAGGTATTTAGAGTACTTAGTAACCTAGTCCATTATAAGTCCTTGGTAAGCCATTTCTAAAGAGAAGTATTTGCTCAAATGGCTAAGGTTTTGATTAGATTTCAGGCTATGATTTTTTTTAAAGTCTGTATTCAAAGACTATGTGTTAAAATAGCTACTTTTAAAAGACATTCAGCCTTCAAGTTTCTCAACTACATTCTTAAGATAAATCTTCCAAATTAAGAGGACACCTAAAAATAAATGCAAATCACATCAAAGCACCACACTTGCCTCTCTTTCAGCTTCTTTCAATATGGCTTCTTTCTCCTTTACTCGCTGTACAAACATCTGCTTCATTTCCTCTTCCTTCCTCTGACGCTCACCATGGAATTCATGTCTTTTGGCTTCATAGGTCTCTTGAAGACTAAAAAGTTATTTGCATTATTCAGTTAAAAAGATTATGTAACAGGGCCAGGGATTTAGCTCAGTGGTTCCGCCGCCTGCCTTGCAAGCAGAAGGACCAGAGTTCAATCTCCAGTACCACAAAAAAAAAAAAAAAAAAAAGATTATGTAACAATTTGCAAAATCTTACGCACTTCCCATCAGAAATGTACCACTAGGTACCAGGTATCTTTTAACATACAGTGACCTGAAACATGCCATCTTACCTGAACTCTCACCAAAGGCATGAGAAAAAAGGCCTCCAGTGCTGAATACAGTGTCTCAGCACTGACAAAACACCTTCACAAGAGGTATCCAAACACATTCTTTTTTCCATCTTTGTTAACTGGCATCACTGTACAGGGAAAGAAAGCTTGAAGAAATGAAGCCCCCTGGGTCTTACCCCTAACATTTATCTTTGTGTCTGAGCACTAGTCTGTCAGTTCAGCCTGTGAAGCCAACATCTCTAAAATCCAGTCTCCTTTCCATTTCTACAAACATCCTATTACAGCCCAACTTGATTGTTGTTATTTTCTGCCTTTACTATTGCAGTAATCTCCTAACTAACCTCTGGACTTCTAGCACCTCTTTCTCTCACTTTGTTCTTCTTGCCACTCTCTAGATTTTCCACCAACACCAGACATCTGGCATACGTCAGAAACACCAAGCCCTCCCATTTCAGCTCACTGTGAGAATACACTGGAGGTTCAACAGAGAATACAAATTCATTTTCCTGCTGTGTCACACTCAGAAACCACATATAAAAATACTTTATAGATTCTGAAATATGATGAATTAAGGACTTATATTAATCTTAAATACTGTAACGGTAGAATGTAAGCTTTTAAACATAGAATTTCAAAAGTTCAAGGAAAAACAGTAAGAAATGTTACACAATAACTATTAAGGCTTACAGTTAAGTGTGTGGCATGCACAGCACGTATTCCAAGGAGGAACAGATCCTAACAACTTGTGAGAACATTTTTTCTAAAGAGCATAGTTCACACTGTATAAAATGTCCCCAGGCACCTCCTAAATGCCTCAAATCCAAAGGAGGCATTTTGCTTTGGACTAGGTTTGGAGGTTTTTTCTTCATTTGCTTTGGTATCATTTAAAGAAACTCCTACATCCACTAGCTACTTTCACACATTTCAGAAGCCTCACCACATATTGCTGGCATGACACTGGATATTATTTAATAACAAAACAACTAAAATAACACCTTGACTTCCTATCAAATGTAAGTTTTTAAAAAATGCTTCATTACTCCCTTTGTATAAGGACTTCTGCTTAGGAGGAAAACAAATCTACCAAGTGAAGAGAAGAGACTTAACACTGGTTAAATATCTGCTACTAGAAATGGACACCTTTGGACTCCTGTTCATGATTTGTCATAGCAACCCTGAAGAATAAGCACTGGTATTCTGTTTTACAGGTCAGGAACAAGAGCTCAGAGAAGTAATCTGCCCAAATAACTGAACAGTAACAAGCTGGGACATGAAGCAGATCATACTTGCTCCAAAGCGCATACACTAAGCACCATAAATCACTGTCTCAAGTGAGCAGTCTACCTAAGGGAAAATGATGCACTGCCCTGAGTATTTTCCATCAACCACTTTCCAGCTTTGGCCAGCATATGTTTATGAGACCAATTGTAAGTAAAGAGACCTGCACCATCATTCAAAAAGTGGTGAAGGAACTCTACGATCTAGAAGGGAATGGTTTGTGGAGTATTTTGGAATGGATACAAACCACTATTTATTATTTACTGATTTACTAAAGGAAAATGAAATCTTTTCTTGCTCTACTATTCCCTTCTGTATGATAAAAGTAGCTTGTTATCATGAATATTTAATGCCAACATACTACTACAGTTGCAGATCTCACTAATTTAAAGCCAAGTTGAAAATTTAAGAGGAAAGAAAAATTTCTCAGATGCTCAAGACATCAAGAAAAGTGATGCATCAAGTAAAGTCCTCAACCCCTCCACATGAATAGTTTGAATAAGCCTGAACTTTTTATAAGCTTTCACTGGGCTAAATGCATAGTTAGCTATTTATTTCTTCAGAGTTCCAAAGACACAAATTTTTGCTATAGTTACATTAACATTTAACTGTAAAATACGACATAAATCTCCCTTTTAAAACTATAGTGATTTTGTACTGAAATGTTGAAGGTGATTAACTGTGGAGAAAGACTAGTTATTAATCTGAAATTATTTAACTGGGGGGTTTAAAAAGCTTTATTAAAGTATGTAGTTTATAAAATCAGTTTATTAAAACTCTTGAGAATATAGCGCCATGTTCTTGGACCTCAAGATAGGCACATGCCTGATGTGAAAGATGCAAAGGTAACCTGGAAGTGGGAGCACACACCTGTAATCTCAGTACTCTGGGAGGCTGAGGCACAGAGATAGTAAGTTTGAGCCCAGCCTGAAGCAACTTAGCTACTTAGTGTGACCCTGTCTCGAAAAAAAAGAGCTGTGATGTAGCTCAGTGCAAAGGCCCTGGGTTCAATCCCCAATAAACTACCCCCACCAAAGAAAATGAAAAAAGGATGCAAATGAAAAAGTGAATTGAAGGTCTGGCAACAAGAGGGCTGGCTGGGAAAGAGAGACATAAAGGTTACCATACTACTAACAGGGTCATGTAACACTTTAATTGCCAGACTGATATAATACAGGTTTTATATGCTAACCAAATTATAGTGGCTACCAAATTAAAATGAGAAAGATTCCCAGGAAAGTAGAGTGTAATTTTTTGAAACTATGAAAAATAAAAGCTTCCTATACATCATGCTATAATGAACTTCTTATGAAAGCCTTATCAAATCATTTATTCACAAATGAGAAGGCATCAGAAGAGACAGTTTCCCTCAGTCTGATCCAAGAACTCCAGTATGAAGTCTCTCTTCTCTTAAAGGCCTGGGAAGGGAAGAGGACACCTTCACACTGGGATCCAGTTCCCCTCCTGTCTTACTTGTCCTCTGCATGCAGCTTCCAGCCACTGCTCCTGCCAAATACAGAGCTTGGCTAATCTGAAGAGCCTCCCTTTCTGATTCTGCAGGCTTCATGTGACCAAGGGCAGATGATTCCCAAACTGAAAGAAGGCTCAATAAATGCATGTGGTTCTCAACTGCCCACCACTTATACATCTCCTTTAGATACTGTTATCTGGATTACCTCTCCACATGGGATACAGTCTGGTGGGACAATCACTAAAGTTCATGACCACTCCTAAATAGGATATGAGAACATGACCAAAGTTGAGCTGATTGGTCCTCCTTTTCTGGTCTATAAATTGTGAGCAGAGAAAAAAAGGACTGGCAATGATTTAAGGTTCATTCACTCCACTCTGCAGCTGGAATAAAACTGGTTTGTACCATTCTAAGCCTTCCCTTTGATTATGTAATCAAAGGGAATTTGACCTTTGTAGCCTTCTAACCACTACCCTTTTCGTTTAATGTAACTTACTTGTGGTCTTCCTTTCTGCACTTGCAAAGCATAAACCTGATCCTCAACCCAGCTACGCATTCCTTTTTTGACATTTCTTCACTTACCTTTCCAAACAGAAAGCCAACAAGTGGTCTTTCTCCTTCTTCATCTGTTCCTTCCCAACCTCTCCTACCTATAAACCCAGCTGACAAATTGGAGAATGACTCAAAACTGTTTCCAACACACTTTTCTTTCCACATGTGCTTCTCCCCCCCCAGGCAGTTGTATTCTTGCTCATTTTTTCAATTAACCATCTGAATGCCTACAACTCTTATGTGTATTCTTTTGGCCTAACTTTTCTCCTCAGATCACCAGATACATACTCAAAAGTGCTTCTCTGACACTGTCACTTGGATGTCAGAGTCAACAGGCCCCAAACTGAGCTGATGATCTCCATCATGCCAACCACCACTGTGTTCCCCCCACCCCCACAAGCTAGTCCTTCAAAACCTGTCTCGGTGAATGGAAAAATCCATCTAGTCAGTGAAACCATAAATCCAGGAGAACAGAACTCTCCTAGCATCTTCTGGCATTTCCTACTTTTCTGCCTTCTTATATCCAAATAATCACTAAGGTCTTCCAATTTCACCTTCTATATTATCTCTTGACTATGTCTAGTTCTCTTTATTTTCACTGTTATTGCTTTAGTCTAAGAAACACTCTTATAACCATCTTTCTAAGCATCTTTACACAGCACTTTTATTTTTTCACATTATAGCCAAGAGTGACTTTTTAAAAATGCAAATGTGACATTAATCCTGGAATGATTTTGCCTTCCCTTTAGAACAAAGACCAAAGTCCTCACCAGGACCACAGAACTGTGATTCCCACCTACTCATTCTATGGTATGCCACCACAACCCTTACCTGTCCCTACTCCAGGGCACTGATCTTTCAGAGTTCCAAACATGCCATTCTCTCTCTCCTTCAGGTTTTTGCATCTGTCTTGTTGTTTTGCCTAATTTACTACAGCTTAAAATAGTCACTCATTCAAGGAAGTCTTTCCTAATTTTCCAGCTTAAGTTAAGACCCTTGGGAACTTTGGCGTTCCATCTTATACTTTGTCTACCTTTCCTTTAGCACTTTTCTGTGCAATTTGGAATTTAATTTCAGCCTCCCCTACAAACCTGTAAACTCCATGAGTCAGAAATACTTGAAATTGACAATACTTACCTCAGAATCTTACAAATAGTAGACACCTTGGTTATGGAGGTGTAGCTCAGTGGTAGGACCTGTGCTTAGCATGCACAAGTCCCTGGATTCAATCTCAAGCACCACACACACACACACACACACACACACACACACACACACACAGAGCAGATACTTCAAAACTACTTATAATTTTATCCAGTACTGTTCATGCTGACACCCTATCTCAAGCCTAACTTCCCCCTAAACACCAGATTCATTTATGTATAACCTAAATATTTAACAAACCATTTATATTTAACATTTACCAAACTTCTCAACTAATAACCTTCTCATGCCTAGCTTTTCTTCTTGCCATCTTGTTCATGCCAATAAACCTACCACTATTCACCTTGTTTCTCAGGTCAAAACAGTAACTGAGGGCTTGGGGTAGACCTCAGCAGTAGAGTTACTTGTGTACCATGTGTTCAATTCTTAGCATCACAGGAAAATAACAAAACAACACCAAAAAAACAGTGACAGAAGTCATCCTCGATTCCTATTTTCTTTACATCCTACATCCAAACCAATTTGTCTGGATACCTTCAAATTACAGAACCTAAACATACTGCTCACTCCTTTCTCACTGCCCCTTGTGTCTAAGCCTTTGTCTCCTCCCTTTTGGCCTTCTTGCTTGGTTTCTACACTTCCATTTCTGACTGCCCCATCCTCTCTCTCACAGGTGCAAAATATCCTCCTCCCATACCACCCCAGAGCTCTGCAAGGGCAGTGTCTGTTTTTCTGACCCACGTGCATAAATACTTCCTGGCCAGCATGATGAGCAGACAGTAGAAAATAATTACTGGCTAAATGACTGAATGGGTATTTTAAAATGTAGACTGCTAGGCTTGACCCTGCACTTCTTAATCCTCTACATGATGAATCTACTAGGAAACCCTGATCCCTCTTCATGGTAAGTCTCCAGAGCTGTACTGCATGCTCTGGGATTTCTGTTCCTTATGAACAGAGATTTCTGAATTGACCCTGAGACTTGGGAAACACTAGGGAAGCCAACTTGAGATGATTAATCTTTAGTGAAGATATACTATAACGAGAAAATGCTCAGTTTACCAGAATTGGCTCACAACCAGAATATAACATGCTGCCTGAATATGATGAAGAGGGATTAAATACATACAATTCTTACCTTACTATATCTATCAGAAGCTAAAAAAACTACTGGAATTTAAAATTTAACTTAATCTCAGATCAAATCTTCTACAAGGTCAAATGTAGTCCAGCACTGACTGGACATTTTCATGCTTCTTTCTGGTTCTGTTTAGGCTCATACATGTCTTAACAGTGGGAAAATGACTAAAATGCAAATAGTGGAATGGAAAAGGAGTCTTCAGTCTCACAATAGAGTTTAAAATAGTGTTTACCCTAAGGATCTCATGCTTTCGTCCATCCAAAAACTGTTCCAGGATATTACATTAAATCAAATTTGATTTAGTACATGAGGGATTAGAATTTCATGTGTACATGTCTTAATAAAAAAAAAAACCCAGGACGTAGCACCATATAAAATTTCAAATGAAGTCTATAGCAACATAAAGAAGGCCTTTGGTCCTAAAATTCTGATAAGAATGCTCCAATACTGTAAGCAACAATCTAATCTCCCACTCTCTACAAGTACTTTCATTCTCCCCTCACAAGGTGTTTGCTAAGCTTCAGTCATTCCAAAACTTTCTTTAGAATAAAAACCAACTGACATACTGTTAGGTTATTCAATATGATTTGTTCTCCAAGGTATTTGTGTGTGTGTGTGTGTGTGTGTGTGTGTGTGTGTGTGTGTGTGAGAGAGAGAGAGATAAGAGTTAAACATATTTTCATCTGTTTCAGATAAATACAAAAACAATGAGGGTTTCCCCTTCAGTTATTCAAGTCAGCAGGTACTGAGGTATTGGGCTTTTGCCATACATTTCTCCTTCTACTCCTTTCAGTCAGATAAGAACTTAAAAACTTTCAAAAGCAAGAAGGTGTCAAGTGGGTCCATAAGAATAGTGAACATTCATTGTACAATGATTCTGTTTCATAGTTCTGGGAGATTTCCAAAAATCTATCCCCATTATTCTGGCCCTTCCTCTGCAAACCTCTCTCACTTCCTCTTCAGCTGGCTATCCAGAAAGTCCCTTACCTGATGGGCTTGTTTTCAGGGCCCACATCTGTAAAGCCCATCTCCTCCAGTTTGCAACGCCGGTACAGCTCATAGTGCCTGGTGTGCGTCTGCTCCCGCAGGTCCTCCATGTTCATGCAGATGAGCATTTCTCGCAGCTTCACAAAGTCACAGTGGTTTTCATTCTCCACTAGCCAGACAGAAACCAGAAAGACCAATACTGGACTTTAATGCCAGGTACAAAACTGGTATTTATTAAATGAATAAATAAATTAAAACAGCAAAATGATTGATCTGATTTATAGCTATAATTGTTTTATACTAGTAACCAAGGAAGAAACTCTGCCATTATACACACTGTATCATAGGCAAAAGTTAATTAATAGACCAGAGTTTTGCTTTAAATTTAATTACCAATGGATAAACAGGAAATACCAAAGAAAACTTTATTACGTTATGATATGTTTGAGTTATTTCACTAACATTTTGTTACTAGTTTATAAACCATACTAACATTTCACACAGTGCTTTAAAAAGAGTATACAGCCAGGTGTAGTGGTGCACACCTGTAATCCCAGCACTCAGGAGGCTGAGACAGGAGTATTGCCACAAGTTCAAGGCCAACCTGGGCTATATAGGGAGTTCAAAGCCAGCCTTAATTATAGAACAAGACCCTGTTGCAAAACAAAACAAAAACAACCAAGTATATAACATTATTTCACTTTAAAGTAGTAAATTCTGAAAATTATAATTTGCTATGCCATAATTATCAAATTCTTTTCCTATAATACTACATTTATAAGCCTGTTACAGTATTCAAAATTAGTGAATATATTCACATGATCCTTCTAAGTTTATAATGACCAGAGGATTACAAATAAATACATGTTACTGTGACTGAGAGTCTTAAATGCAACTATTACTTTTTTTTAATGCTTTTGAGATAGGTTCTTGTCACATTGCCCAGTTTGACAACAAACTTGCAATCCTCCTGCCCTAGCCTCTCATTTTACATTTTTAATATATTAAAGGTTTTATATTTTCTCAGTACTGTGCATTAATTTAAAAACTGTCAATTTAAAAAACCAGCATTTGGACACCAGTAATAGTAGGGACAATCAAATAAATCTGGTAATACTAAATTATTCATTAATAATGCCAGATAAATGACCCAAATGCCAAGCAGATTTAAGTTGACTAATGGATTTGTTTTAGAAATAGTATTGATCAGAAAAAATATGTAAGTTTACCAGATGGTTTAATGTGCCCTATAGTTAAGTGGTAATTAGTTTACATGTTATGTCTAAACACTATAAATTCAAATTCTGAACAAGGACTAGGGTATAGCTCAGTAGTAGAGCACATGCCTAGTATACATGAGGCCTTTGGCTTGATCTCCAAAACAAAATAAGAACAAAAGAAAAAGGAAACAATGCAAATTTTCATCAAAGTGCCCACTCAGTCAGGGAGGAACACAGGTGTGGCACAATGGGCATACAATGCAGATGAGGCACTCTGCCTCCCTCCACAGATCTCAGCCCAAATACTACACAGCCATGTCCTCTGATAACCAATTATAACCCTAGATGAGCATCACCACAAAGAACAGACTAAAGGTAACTTTGAGATGGCTAGGTGTCATGGCTTGTATTTAGATGTGCTCATAGGTGGAGCTTTGGGGAGTGACTGGATCGTGAGTATATAATACTGAATCATGGTGTATGATTCTGGATTAGTTCACTGATTGGTTTAGCATAGCTCTGGGTGATGATGAACTTACTGAAGAGGGAAGACCCACCTTGCCTATGGGTGGCACCAACCAATAGGCTTGTAGCCTACATGGAATGCAAAGGGAAAGAAGGAAGGCAGCTTCCTGCCTGCCTTGCCAACTGTTTCTCCTCTGCCATGCCACCCTGTCTTAGAACCAGCTGATTATGCTGTGAGTTAAAATAAACTTTTCCTCTTTTAACTTGTGGGTGTCAGTTATTTTGTCCTAGCAATGAAAAAGTAACTAAGACACTAAGCAACATATATATATTTTCAAGTCATCATCTACCTCATTTACCTTGTACAATACCCCAAGGGTACTGGCGAGCTTTGACCATCTTATTTCCAACTTTAACCTCATCCATACTTCCCACAACAGCAAACGGCAAATGTTCCTAAAAAGGAACCATGACATCAATTGAGCTCGTGACATACCAATGAGATAAATGACCAACTAAAAATGATTTTACTAAGTGACAAGTCTATTAAAATCAAATAACTTGCTGTGTCTTAGATTTTAAAACTTGGCTTTGGATATATACTAACTTCTATAAGAGTCATTCTTGTGTCATATAAATAAAATTATCTACTGAACATCTATGACATGTAAGGCACTAGTGGTACTGGGAATACAAAATCAGAAAATTTTAGCATAGGTGTCATTTTAATCAGTATTATCTGTGCCCTGAAAGACAAAAGATTATGTTGAAGAAGTTATACATACTATATAGTATACATACTGAACCTACATATTTGTATTTAGTGTCTGTAGGTATATGATTCTAATGCAAAATAATATGTGATCAAAATATACAATGATTGTTTAAATTTAAAAATCATTGTAGTAAAAGACACATTGCTATTAATCCCCTTCAAATACTCCTCCTTGCTTTGAATGTTCTTGCCACTTTTGGAGGCAGTTCTGAAGTCTTCCTTGGTGAGTATCTTTGTGAGGTGTGATCAAAAATATGGTGAACTGGGCCAGGAATTTAGCTCAGTGGTTCCACCGCCTGACTCGCAAGCTAAGGACCCGAGTTCGATCCCCGGTACAAAAAAAAAAAAAATATGGTGATTGCTGTTGCCTTGTGCCATCCAACAGAAAGGCAGGTTCCTAAAAACCTTGGTGTGTCCTCATTCACCTTATTCACCAGATTTGGCACCATGTAATGTCTGACTCTTCCCAAAAATCAATTACCATGAAAGGTAAATGTTTTGAATTGATTCAAGATATTGAGGCAGCCAAAGAGATTCACAGAAGAGAACTTCCAGAACTGCTTCAGAAAGCGGTAAAAATGATAGAATGTGAGTGTATTTAAAGTGGTGGGGGGAGTATTCTTTTGGGAGGAGAATCAATGGCAATGTATCTTTTAGTATAATAAATTTTTTAAAAATACAACTAAGCGTTCATCGTATTTTTTTATCACAATCATACAAAGTTCCAAATTGATACATGAATAGTAAATGTGACAGAAACTAAAAGGAGGAAGAGATCAATGGAGCAGGAAAGTATAAACCAAACTAGACTAGGAAGGATGGGATTTACTGGATCAAGCAGAGTGGGAAGAAGCAATGTAGAAAGTAAGATTCTGAATGAGATGCAACAACTTGAGTCAGGGGCTTGACTCAAATGAGTCTGTCTGAAGCTGAAGATCAATATAGGGGAAAAGTCCAATGTAAAAAGTAATAAGCACTATATTTAATATTTAGTAACTGACATTGTTTAGTTCTTAATTGTATCTTTCTAAAAAATAATTATAGAAGAGCACAAAATCTAAAATTAGATATGAAGACAATTCAACATGTAGGAATTAAGATTACTTCATTTACATGTCAGATTTTATTCATTTAGTTTAGGTTTCTTTTTTTTTTTTTGGTACTAGGGATCGAACTCGGGACCTTTTGCTTGCGAGGCAGGTGGCAGAACCACTAAGCTAAATACCCAGCCCCTAGTTTAGGTTTCTTAGGTATGAAAAATTAAGAAGGAAAAGAGAAGAAAGGGAATGAACAGTAACTGGATGTTTACTGACTACTTTTTTTCTGGAATTTTTCAGTTAGACACATAACCAAGGGCACACCATTTAATCCTTACAACAACCTAAATAAATGATGGGTACTATTAATCTAACCTTATATATGTAAGTTATTAGTCTCAAGGAAGTTACCACAATCTGCCCAAGTCCCCAATCCACAACCCTTCAAAATACAACCAGACATTTAAGAAATGTTACCACATTTTCCATGAAGAAAGTAAAATCAAGACCTTAGTCATCTTAGTAATATTAAGTTAAAAGTCAGATGGATATTTCCCAGGTACACTGACACTGTGGAAGGTGAGACTAAATACCAGCTTTAAGCAACTCCTTAAATATTTGCAGTTCTACAGCATTGCATGATAGGGTGTATGATTTTCCCATGTGTTCAAACAGGAAAGGCATCTTTCCAAGCAATTAAATATTGTTCCACACAAGATATATTCCAGTCTTACAAATGTATTACTTTATTCAGGTAAAAGCAGGGAGGAAGAAAATATGCTTCAAAAATCCCCTTTCCAATTTAAAATACAATGCTTGATTCCCCACCTGGACTTTTTGATATTTTACTTTGTTCGGAGTCTTTCTGGAAGACCCACATACAAATATTTAAGTTGTTCCCCTGCCCAAGATCCCCAGTGGATGCCTCAAACTGTGGTTGATCTACCATCCTACTGAGTCTATATATACATTTTTTCCTGTATATACATACATATAAGAATCTAATTCATTAATTAGGCACAACAAAACATTAACAATAACTAATAAGAAATGGAACAGTTATAACAACACACTATAATAAGTTACATGACTATGGTCTCTCTCTCTCTCAAATCCCTTACTGTACATATACTATACTCACCCTTCTTCTAACAATGATGTGAGTTGATAAAATACATAAGTCATGAAATTTTACCATACTCTTCAGAATGGCACATTATTTAAAATTTATGGATTATCTATTTCTGCAATCCCAGTTAGTATTTCCAACAGCAGTCAACCATGGGTAAGTAAAATCTCAGGAAGCAAAACTTCAGATCAGGCAGATATGGTAGCAGCAATATTAGTCATAAATAGTTTTATTTTCACATGTGAAGCAAACTTAACATTCCAGAAGGAGCTTACATTCATTGCAGCACTGATTTTGGCAATGGTCTCATCATCTGTTGGGAACTGGTATATCTGGACACCATTACTGATCAACTCACTCATGAGCTTCACCTTAAACTTCTGTAATTCAGTTTTAGAAATTGTATCGGCTTTAGCAATCACTGGTATAATGTTAACCTATTAATGAGAAAAAAATCCAAAAATCTTGTAACTGAGGATTTGTTTTTTAATCCTATAGTTATTTTTCACACCAGTCAAAACCATTCAGTCATTGATAATAAATTTCCTTACCCTGGATCAGGGGCTTGAGAACTACGGTCCAGCTTGCTACCTGCTTTCATAAAGAAAGATTTATTGGAATCCCAATGAGCCCATTCATTTAGGTAGCATCTATGGCTGCTTTCCATTTAAAACAGCAGGGATAAGTAGTTGCTAAAGACCTATGGTATTAAGACCTTAAAGTATTTACTACCTATCCTTTTGGAGAAGTATGCATGCCTGTGACCCTGATAAACACTGGCTATTGCCCTCATACACACATATATATGTGTATACATACATACACTATATAATCATTTCTATAGATGTGGGCCTCATAATAATGGCTTTTAAAAAGAAGAGTTCTTTTTAGAGTCATCTTTCACTTAAATTTAGGTTTAAAAGTCTTGCTTTTCTACTCTCTCCCTTGGTCTTACAATTCAATGATACACAAAATAAGTAAACTGTAATAAACAGTTGAAATTACCTGCTTAATTCACTAAGAATATTTATTTGCTAGCCTAAGCACCAAGTAGTTAGGGCAACTGATCCCTTGGCAATCCTTACAACAATTCTCTTTCCACCTGTTTCAACCCTGACTCCATCCCTATCAGTACACTATCATGAGAGACACCTACCTAGGTGGCACAGGAAGGAAACTCTGCCAACTCAAAGTATTCCTAAAACAAAGAAATAACTTTTTCAGAAGAACTAATTCTTGGGCGGGGATTTAACTCAGTGGCACCATGCCTGCCTTGTAAGCATTAAGGTCCTGAGTTCAATCCCTGGAACAAAAGAAAAAAGAAGAAGGAGGAGGAGGAGGAGGAGGAGGAAGGGGAGGAGGAGGAGGAAGGGGAGGAAAGGAGAAAGAAGAGAAGAGGAGGAAGTAGAGGAGGAGAAGGAGAAGGAGAAGGAGGAGAAGAAGAAGGAGAAGAAGAAGAACTAACTCTCACCACTGCCAGAAAGGATGGGTGGTGGGATTGAGAAGACTGACTGACTAAATGTCCCCCAAAGCCTCATGTGGTCATAGGTGGGCCTTTTCAGAGGTGGCTGGATCTAGAGTGTGTGATGCTTGGATTAAGTGTGTGTGATTACTAAATCAGTCCACTGATTGTTTTGGCATAGTTCTGAGTGTGAATAATGGGAAGGCCCACCCTGGGTGTGAGTGCTACTTGCCCTAAGGACATGTAGCCTGGATAGACTATAAGGGACAGGAAGAGGGCTGCTGTCATCCCTTGCTGCTGCTTTTTTGCTACTTCACTGCTTTGCATGCCTCTGCCCATCATGAACTGTTTCTCCTCTGTGATACTCCTCTACCATGCCACTACTCTCCCTTAGAGCCAACCAACTATGAATTTAAAAACTCTATGAACTGTGAGATATAAAAAACCCTTCTTCCTTTAACTTTGGGTATCAGGTATTTTGTCCCAGCAAAGAGAAAAAGTAACAAAGACAGTGAGTGAGATCACAATGCAATTTTCAGACTGACAAAAGTAAAAATAATACTTATAATTTCTATTCTATACTTAAATTTTTGTCTTCTTCAGTTTCACAGATTCAGTGTATCTATTTGGATGTACTGGTCTTCCACATGCTCCAAAGGAGATAAACATTTTTCCAATTATTTTTGAAATTAATGGCAGAAAAATTTCCAATAATCACAAGTAAACAAGTTTCATGTTAAATTACTCAATGTACATAAAAACTTTAATCCCAAGTTCTTGGTTTCAATATTCTACACTTAGATATTCAATGAAATGAGCCAAGTTATTAAATAATAATTACTTCCACAATAAATTGTAAGAGATTGGCTGATAAACATCACTGTTTGCATGTCTATCTGAAGGAGGGAAAAAAACAAATGTTGTCAAAGATGGTTACTTGCTCCATTTGTATAAGATAAAGTAACTTTCTATGTCAAGTAGTCAAGTGACTGGCATTAGGAACAGAAGACAATGATCTGGAGGAGGCCTGGGGACCTAATATTATCCAGTTCCCTATGCAATGCAAGATATTTCTATACCTGCCAAGTGGCTTACGGGTAACAGCTGCCCCTAAAATAATATGTAGTACTGAATATCCATATATTAAGTGCCAAATCAAGTAAGTGAGGTATGTCTCATTTTTTCCTTAAACCTATAAGGTTAGTTGTAACATTCCTGTTTGGTTTGTACAACAGAAAGCTAACGGTAGGATTATGATAAAGAAGTCCCAATTTCAGTTGCTCCTCACCAACAGAATAAAGCAGAAAAGAGTGGTGACCATAAAGTAGGCGCATGATGTAAATGATCTTTTACTGTAACCACAAAACATTTCATTTTTGTTTGAATGAAATTCAATATTGTTATAAAAGTAATACTGTAATGTCTTTCACAGCCTTTGGTAGTGTGTTTTATGCATTTATAGGTAGATGTTACAAGAGTCTGCAGTGTGGAGCATTAGATAAGCACTCAGTCTCTCTTCTGGTTCCTGAGCACCCAGTAAAGGGAACATATCTGTCATACCAGCTTCATCAAGTTTTGCCAAATTTCAGAGACTGTGCCAAAAGTAAGTCAATCTATGTGCTCAGGCTTCACTAACAGGCCTCATACTTTCCATCCCAATTTCTATCAAAAAGTAGAACGTCCCAAAGCCCCTGTATTAAATACTACCTTATACAATGAGTAGGCAGGGTTATGAAAGCTGTATTTCTCACACCAGTAGAGATTATCGGAGATTCTTCATTTAATGTAAGATAATAAATAGACTTTACCTATCTTTTAAACAAGTGTAAGAATCCGAAGTGAGTTAATTAAAAGATATTTTTAAATAGCTCTCTGAATTTATATATAGCTCATTGGCTCAAAACTCCAAAAGTAGGTTTCTTGGTCTGGACTAAATTAAAACACATGTCACTATTACATGGGATGAAATATTGCACCTTGATCTTTGTCAATGAAGTTCTTCTTATTTAAGTGTCACAAAGTAGAATCGGTGTGAAATAAATACTGCATAAACAATGTAGAGAATACCCATGACCTGGCAACCAACTTAATCACTAAAAAAGAAGCTAAAATTTCATTTTAATGTTCATCTTTGCATCTCGTCTTCCACACTGAATTATTCTAGAAAATAAGATATAAACTTATCAGATGTTATAAAGATGCACAGAATAAAAGCTACTGACACACACACACACACACACATATGTATGTATAAAGCTACTATACATACTATACACATCTATCACAAAGATAATTTAATAGTTCACAAACACATTAAAGTCTGATAAGTTGATTCCTTTTCTGCCCCCACCTTGCTGTCCAGGTTCTTCATAGTTAAGAGGTCAAGTGTCTTCAGAGAGTGGCCTGTGGGGGTGATGAAGTAGAGGCACACATGTATGCGAGAATCATGGTAGTTGAAGAGAGAGCGCTTGATCTTCAATTCTTCTTGGAGATAAGCCTCAAACTGAGCATTTATGTAGTCAACGATGGGTTGGTAGCTGAAAAGATCATTATTTAAATATGACAGAACATATATAGGCTACCTTAAGATATCTGTACAACTCTCAAGTTTGAGGTATGTATTTTTACCAATTAATAAGCAGTTGAAATCTATGGTAAACAGATAACTTTAGTGACAAAACATAACACGCAGAACCATCAGCACAACCTACACTTGGAATACTACTGAATTTATGATTCATCCTTGCATCCATTCATGTTAGGTTCTTTTTCTTTTTCTTTGGTACCGGAGATCAAACTTGGGACCTTGTGCTTGCAAGGCAGGTGGCGGAACCACTGAGCTAAATCTCTGGCCTGTTAGGTTCTAACAAAGAAACTGACACTTGCCAGACTGCTCAAAGAAGCTAAGAGTCTAATTTACAACCAAATTAGTACACAGCATATTATTTAACTGAGGAAAGGTATAGTTATCAACTAAAGTCAAAGATTCATCTTGTAATGAAAAGCATTAACATAGTAAAGAGGAAAGACTTATGTGTGTGTATATGTATGTGTATGTATGTGTGTGTGTGTGTGTGTGTGTGTGTGTGTGTGTGTGTGCAGAAAGTATCTAACAGGTAATGCTGGCATGGTTTTATTTTAGTTAATTATAAACAAAGGCAAAGTAAATCACAATCTTTGCCCCAAGCCCTTAAATCTTCAGATAATCTATCCCTAGAACACTATCTTTCCTCTGACTGTCTGAGCCATTCATCCTTCAGAATGCAAATTAAATCACAGTGCACATGCAGAGTGTTATATCAGTTAAAGATTGGTTGTGAACACTCCACTTCAATCTAATATGTTAAATCACTGCCAATACAACTTACCTTTATACTCTAACCCTGCTCATTGAACAAATCTGGGCTCCCAGATGAAAATAACAGTGAATAACACCGAGTATCTTGCACCTCAAATTCCCTGGACACTTTTGTAATATTGTCACCCCATAGCAGAGCAGCACCTTGTACAGCTAAGGTACTCAATAAAGTGGACAGAACTGTATTACAAGTTGCCTGACAACTCCAGTCCTTAGGGTCATCACCTCTTTTAAACCTACAGTATGCCCTGTTTTCCCTGTTAAGATAACAATGTGAGGACAATGATAGTATCTTATAATTCGGTGTTTTCTATAAGAACAAGCATAATCTCTTAACATTTCAAAAACTCATTTCATTACCAGAATGACTATGAAAACCTGCAAGTGATCCTAAGGAAACCAGTCTAAACGTGACCCAAAAGAATTCCCTTCCCAAAATAGTAGTAAAAATTAATCTTTACGTGCATGTTTGATGTAAAAATTCCAAGTAAGTTTTTAGTAAAGACTTAAAAAGCTAATAGAACCTATTAAATAACCTAAATAATCACGGATGTTTATCTATCTGAATGCCCTGTTTTATAATTTTCTTTCTTTCTTTTTTTTTTTTGGTACCAGGATTGAACTCAGGAACTTGTGCTTGCGGGGCAAGTGGTGGCACCACTGAGCTAAATCCCTGGCCCCTGTTTTATAATTTTCAAAAGTAAAACTCATAAACATTTTTTCTATGTAACTGGGAATCCTTCCATAGTAATTTCCTCTAGTTTCCACTTCCAGTGAATAATAGACTTATTCTTCCAATAAAAACACCAAAGAGCCCAAAGGTGGTAAGGAGTTATGTAACCAGGACAAAATTGAAGAGAAAGAAGAAACCAGAGAGGGAAGCAGAAAAAGGGAAGCACACTACAATTAAACAGCCAAAGCTAGTCTAATGCCTACTTTTGTAGATAAAGTTTTATTAAGACACAGCCACATTCGTTTATGTATTATTATCTGTGGCTGCTTTCAAAAAGGCTCCATGTCCCACAAACCTTGAAATATTTACTGTCTGGCCCTTTACAGAAAAAGTTCATCAAGGTCTGCATTAAGAGGACCAATTGTAGAGTTCCACCACTCCCAGCCCAGAGGAAGAGGTTTCCAGGCCACCGTTCCACCACTCCCAGCGGAGAGGAAGGAGCTTCCAGGCCACCATTCCACCGCTCCCAGCCCAGAGGAAGGTGCTTCCAGGCCGCCATTCCACTGCTCCCAGCCCAGAGGAAAGAGCTTCTGGGCCGACGCTCCACCACTCCCAGCACAGAGGAGGTGAGCCCCACAGGCACCAACAGCACCAACGCCCCCCCCCATCGAAATGAGAAGACACTTAAACAAGTCTCAAAACCAGACTTCCAGAT